ATTGCTTTGTCGGGTTTTTAAATCACAGAGACCGAAAAGCGACTGGAACAGTCAGTAAGAGCTTCCTGGAGCCAGATGCCGACTGAGCACATTGTCCGTCTCTTCTCCTGTTATGGACATCCTGAACAGTAGAAAGGGCACCAGGGAGCAAGCTAACAAAGTAAAAGAAATGGATCGCTTTCTGTTTGGCTACTTCTGTGCATGTCAGCTTCAGTACTGCATGGATAAGCAGTTTTTCCAATGCAACAACGTCTTGCAGAATGTCTATGTTGAAAGTATTCTTACTATTCTTCCGGAAAATGATAATTTATAAGATACAAATGGGCATAATAACTGTATATTTAAAATTTAAAAAAATGTTTGGGGGGCAGTAAGATGGCTCAGTGAGTAACAGTGTGCTTGCTGCCAAGCCTGATAACCTCCTCTGATACCAAAGCTGTCCTCTGGCCTCCACATGTGTGTTAAGTATGTGAATATTAATATTTTTCCCATGGTATCTCTTTTCTGGAAAAACTTGACAACAGCTAAATTTCTGTCATAGTCAGTGTGTTTTGTCCTTGTGACAAATACCTGAGAAAAGCAATTTACAATGGGAAAATTGTATTCTAGGTCAAAGGTGCAAAGGCTTCAGTGTCTTGGTAGGGAGGCTGTGATGAGGCGATCAGAACATGCCCATAAGGAACACACCCACCAGGAACACGCCCACCAGGAAACAGGGATGATGCGTGTGCTCTCTGGATTCCCCCTTTTATCCCTTTTTTTCCAGTGGAGCCTTCAGACTCCAGGATGGTGCTGCCCACATTCAGGATGTCTTCACCTTAGTAAACCCTTTCTGGAAACTCCCTCACAAACACAGTCTCCTATGTACTTATCAACATGATCAAGGGTGAGAATCAAGACTAACCACCATCACCATTCCCATAAACAACTAACAACTAAATGAATTAGTCACACAATAGCCAGGCCATCTTGGAACATAAAAATAAGTTCTTTTTTTGAAAGATTTTTGTTATCATAACTTACGGATAACAATGGGTTGGGTGTGACGTTCTCAGACACGTCTATGGTGCACCTGCATCCTATTTGCCTCTTATTCCTATCCCCTTCCCTTGTCCCCCTCCGACTACTGCTGATCGTCCTCCTCTTCCCCACTAAGCCCACCTCCCACCTTTTCCTTTTTATTTTTAATTGATGACCCACTGACTTTTACTGGGGTTGCTAACAGGAGCATAAGCAAGAATGCAGCCATAAGGGAGCATGGACAATCTACTAGTGGTTACTCCCTCCCTTGGTAACCATTAACTGCCTGTAGATCCCTGGGGAAAGTGGGGCCTTGGGAGTCTCTTGCCTCACTGTAAAGACAGTGAGCTGCTATATTAGGTGCATAATTAACAGAGCATATGATCACAATACTGTGTAATGCATACAGTGCCCACAGAGGCCAGAGGGAGGTATCGGATCCCCTGGAACTGGAGTTACGGTTGTGAACTGTCATATGTAGGTGCTGAGAACTAAACCCGGGTCCTCTGTAAGAGCAGTAAGTGGTCTTAACTACTGAACCAATTCTCCAGTCCTCCCACCCCACCTCATCCCACCCCAGTATATTTGTATTTTGAGGCAGGGTCTCTCCACGTAGCCCGGGATGGCCTGTGACTTACGGTCCTTTTGCTATTGCTTCCCAAGTGCTGGAAGTACAAGCATGTAGCAACATGCCAGGCTCAGAAGTATATTTTTTTTCTCAAAATATTTTAGTGGTTTCATTGTTCTTTGCAGAACTAGAGCGTGAATCCAGGGTCTTACACAAACCAAGCAAGCACTCTGCCTATCAGTGTGTTTTGTTGGTGTTTGTGGGAGTATTTTGATTGAATCCTTGGATGCAAAACAGCTATATGGAGTCAACAGTACTTGCATGTGTCTATCTAGCTATAAACAATTTTAATTCCTAACACGTTTCTAATCTGAAAATGTGATTCATTTACTAAGAGAACCTGTCCTTCAAATAGGTAGTAAAAATGGCAGGGAGAAACTGAGAGATTTTAAAATAAAATTAAGATAAAGGCATAACTATTAGGTTTATGGAAATTTCCCATAAAAAAACAACACTGCCAACTTGTCAATAAAATGTCTTTAAAGAATGCAACTTCTGGAACAGCTAAGGATGATCCTGTCCAGGGGATTGCCCTACACACACACACACACACACACACACACACACACACACACGGAAGAGCAGCCACACCCGCCTATCTGCCTGGCGATGACCATTCCAGGGGCTTCCTGCTTCCGCTTTGCCCACTCTGCCTCTCTGGTTGAATTCATCCCCTCAGACCAAGCTCAGGAGGCCGTCTCCATGAAGTTCTGAAGTTTTTATTTCTTCATGGAGGTATGGCAACATGTGAGAAAGCGCATGACCTTCAATGACCTTCAGAAGATAGTTTGATGAGCTCAGACCACCTAGCACTCAGCAGCACTGCCTCCCTCCTCCTGCAGAATCCCCTCTTGTCCCTCCCAGTCTCACTTTCCCTCCTTAGCATAGCATCACCAACCTGATTTCTACACAGTAGCTTTATCTGTTGTAGACCTCATAAAACTGAGGTAACCCCTAGATATCTTTTTCTCCATCTGCCTTCTTTTATTCAGCATGACTCTCTGTGATTGGTTGCTATGGAAGCAACTCACTCTGTTGAATGGGGTAGCATCTACTATATGTATGTGCCGTAGTGGAATGGGTAAACACTCAGAGGGCTATTCTTGGGGGCGGGGATGTGAGGTTGAATTTATTTCTCTGTGTCCTTCCCTCTTATGAACTAATATCCTTATTGTTTACTGCAGACAAGCCGCTCTGTGATATATATGGTGCTAGAATTAACCACAGGAAACTGAACTGCACAAAGTAGGCAAGCCTCCAGCCCCTGCAGTAAATAATATTTAGTGCTTCGCGGATTGGATTGTTACATGTAATCAGAGGTACACCATCAGACTTAAGTTAGGTCATAGGCTTTTGCCAAGAGCTCTGTGCTGTTGTCTACACACTACACTGCTAACAGAGAGACACGTGACCCCAGAGCATCAATTCTGTTTTGCAAATTTATTCATCTGGTGAATGGCAGAACCAAAAATCTAGATCTAGAATGTCATCATTACACACTCTTAAAAACTATGTTGTAATGCTACATGTTCTTGCCTCTTTATAACAACCAAATTTGATGCTTTTCTAAAGTAAATTCATCAAATATGGAAACGGGTGAAGAGGGTACAATTTATGCTTCACAGGGGAGCAATCATCACTGTGAAATGACTTCCCAATGCACTCCTATTTCAAAGCAGGCTAGCTTGTCCTCACCTTAGGCTGGAACTCTAACAAGGCAGTTAAGTTTCCTCACTTGGGGCCTCAGAATAGTGTAGTAAGGTGTCCCCCTTAGGCTGGCATGTTGGGAACACAAAGGTCCTTGTGCCCATAGATCTTCAGGGAAAACAGAAATTTTAAACAACCAGAAAGGGAAGGACATATGAACAGTTTTGGTAGAGAGCTGGGAACTGGAAGTGATTAATAGCCCAGTGATCTGAATTTTCTGTTGGGCCAAGCCCTATCAAGTTCCCAAAACCAGGACCAGAGATGTCTATTGTCTAAATGATCCTTACATTATCTATGTAACCAGGGGCTCCCCCAACCTCGCTCAACCAATACCAGAGGTGGCTAATAGCCCAAATGATCTCTATGCTGTCTATATGACCAAGACCAGCCCAGATCCTTTCTTAGGTTCTTAAGCTAATGCAAGCAGCCTATTTCCATCACCCATCTTCTTGGAAGAAATGATAAGCCCTGAGTTGAGTTTCGCTATAATTATGCTTTCTTGTAAGCCAGGGATTGCATTCCACCAAGAAACTTTTCTCTCAAATTATGCTGTGTTTAAATATACTGGCAACAAGCCACCCAGCACCAGACTCCCCTAAATTTTCATTTTCACCTCACTGTGATTCATTTCCCTGCCTGCCTACACCTGAAGGGACCGCCTCTGTGCCCGCTTTCTCACCACTGACTGTCCACAATGGCTCACACACACATTGTGTGTGGTGCTAACTATCACATTTAGTTGGGCTGGAGCTGACACCCACGCCAACATGAGGCCTCTCCTCTCTGTCACAGCCATCTCAGGGTGGAGGACCTCAGCGTGCGGCTCACTGCCTTCAGAGCAAACATCCCAGGAAAGCCGGGTAGAAGCTTCCAAGACTTAGTTCACCCCTCCTCAAAGCTGTGCTGGTGAGAGTGTGCACAACTGCCTGGTGTCACACAGAGGACACACACAGCCCGACAGCCAACAAGAGGACTGGGGAAGTCACACTATAGGGGGGAACCACAGCAAAAGATGGAATAGACTACCTTGGAAAACAGACTTCGCCACATTTATACCCTTAAACAGCTATGCTTGGACGATGTCATGAAGACACTGAAGACTTTAATTGGAAAACTCCTCTCAGAATGAACAACACCCTATTCCTAAGTGTTAGAACACAGGTGGGTTTTACGAGGAACACTAAATAGGCAGATTCATTTTCAAGTTTGTTTTATTTGAGAGTTTTCTTACTTGCTGCAGGATTAAGGGCTATTTTAGAAGCCCCTACTAGTAAATGCGTAAGTCCCCAGCTACACAGAACCAAATGAGAAATACCGGATAGTCTTGATGATTACGCCATCTAGGGAGATGCTAGGAATCGCCAAACGAATGTTATGAGTATCACAAAAATTTAATCTAACTGACTGATTAAAAAGTCTCTTATAACTCGGTGGTGGTGGCCACATGCCTTTAATCCCAGAACGTTGGGAGGCAGAGGCAGGCAGATCTCTGTGAGTTCAAAGCTAGACTGGTCTACAGAGAGAGTTGCAGGACAGCAAAGGCTACACAGAGAAACCCTGCCTTGAATATCTAAAGGGGGGAAGTTCCTTATAAAGATGACCATCCCATGAAGTTTACATCACACAGGCACTATGCCAACTGTACCTGGCTTTGCGAATATGCAGCTGAGGGTAGTGGTCATGCCTGTGACATATGTGCACTGCAAAATCTTCATCATAGGTCAAACATGGAATGTTCCCCACTAGGTCAAACACAGTTATCAGGGTTGAACCTAAATCACAGAAAGAAATGTATCCTTTAATCAATGGATAACTTCAAGATCTCAGAAAAAAAATGGGGTCCCCATTCCACTTGGAAATTTACTGGCTGTAATCAAGTACCAACGTGATATGCTTAAAGTCCAGTGACCAATCTTCTTTCCCCATTCCCAAAAGTGCTACTTTCAGCTTCAGTTCCTTGCCAGTTTCTGGGGACACTGGGCTGTTGAGGACCTTACCTAGGCTCACGTATGTTGGCACTATAAGGAATATGAAGTATAGTTCTGGCACTGCCTTGAACACAGTCCTGGGGAAGAAAGATGAGACGGGACGGTGTTAGTAACAAAGCAACCACATTGCCTGCCCCTGAGAAAATGAGGTGTCTGGAAAGTCACACGGACTCAGTTGCTCCCTGCTAGTCAGGGCCAGAGCATCTCCTGGGCGATTTCCTTCCTCTCTACTTTTCCTTCGATTCCAAAGAGCTCCCCTCCTGTCTGTCTGGTGGAGGTCGAGCGAATAAAGGGCATGACGCCCAAGCAGCACACCAGATTTCTGCTGACATTAACCTCTGACCTGGCATCTGGATGGTCTGGTGTGACATTACAAAGTGACTTGAAAGCTGAGCCACCCACCCCCACCCCGCGGTCTGTACAGGCTGTCAGAGACGCATCGCCACAGCTCAATGGCCCTGCTCATCATCTTTCCACACACCCTGCTATTCAGGATGTTTCTGTGGGCGGTCATGTCGATGTAAACTTCTAAAGAAAAGACTGAGGAAATCTTACACTGAAAACACATACGTCTGCAAGTCTTCCCTCGTTCCTGACCACCTCGATCCATTTCTTTAAATTAGTGCACTACTTGTTGGCCTCAGTTAAAAACAGGGGCTCGAGAGAGAATGGATTTTAAGAATTAGATTATTTCCTTTTGGAAATACTGCTGCTATTAAATATTTTAATAGAGGATTAATGTAACAACAAACTATATGCAAATTAAAGGCTCCAAAGAACTTTGTTTCATTTGAAAAATACTCCATAAGGCATCTTTCATGACCACCGTCTGTGCTGAGTCACCCACTCACCGAATGATCTCTTTGAGGCAGCCAGTGGAATACTCGTCCACAGCCACGAAGAAGTGCATAAACAGTGTATTCAGAGGCTGCAGGAGAAAGAACATGTGGATAAAACACTGGACCAGACAGAGCAGGGCTCAGAGCAGTCCCAAGGGCAGAGCTGGCCAGGATTTGTGGGTCACAGCTTATGCCAAAGTGACAAGACACCCACGTAGCAATTTAAGCCCTCTGTCTCACTAGCTTGGAATTAGCTAAGGAAGTGGAGATTGTGAGTCTAGAGTGCCCAGCCCCTGCTCCTGTCCTCATGGAGGAATTATGGGTAGGGAAGAGCCTGCAGGGGAGTGAAATCGATTACGGACTCCATAGTCTTGCCTTTGGGGGTGTCTATGCCAAGTGAAAGACAATCACCCTTTCCCTGGGGCTCCTGAGCCAGCAGCTGCTGCTCTATTCATGGGACACGAGGGAGAGATTCTCTTATGAAATTGAAGGATGGAAGGCAGATGCTGCATTAGGAATCCAAAAGCTTTTTTTGTTCAACATTCCCGGAGTCCCAATCAACTTATTATTCCTGCGATCCAGAAAACCTGGGAGCAAAAAATGCAGAGAAGCAAGAGTCTCACATGGCTTTCGGAATCCGAGTTTTAAAGGGGCGTTGTCCTCTGACTCTTGGGTGATTAGCTGGCCTAAATAATACTAGTGCTCCTTTATGGTCATCTCTTGGTTCCTGTATTCATGAAGGTTCTAGAAATAATGGAAATACACTGAAAGGTGATTATTGTACATGCATTTCCACTGGGGAAGTGGGAACCTCCTGCTTCCTGATTTCTTAGTAAAGCTGCTCCTCCCTCAGTATTTGGGGTGTTGGTTCCAGGACCTCTGCAGATACCAAAATTGATGAGCGCTCAACTCTGGTCCCTGTATCAAATGGTGTAGGATCTGTATACGATCGGCACATGTCTCTGATGTACGTTATTATGCCTTAACAGAGTATAAGCGTGACTTGAGGGGCTGCTTACTATATTGTCTGGGAATAATAACAAGGAAAAGCCCTGCATGTATGCAATACATGTACATTTTTTTTTTTTTGGTTTTTTCGAGACAGGGTTTCTCTGTGGCTTTGGAGCCTGTCCTGGAACTAGCTCTGTAGACCAGGCTGGTCTTGAACTCACAAAGATCCTCCTGCCTCTGCCTCCCGAGTGCTGGAATTAAAGGCGTGAGCCACCATGGCCCGGCATACGTGTACATATTTAAAAACACTTCCCATTGTTAGTCAGCTGAATTTACAGTGTGGAACCTGTAAATGGAGAAAGCTGACCTTAGTTCTCCAGGAAACTTCGGGTTACCAACTACATAGCCATGTGCTGTCTCCACTTCCGTTGGCTAACCTCTGACTCTGAAGCACTCAGCAGGAATTGGCAAGAAAGAAATCACGAGTTTGACCTGTGACCTTGGAAATTCTCAAAAAGCATACAGCACAAACTCCCAAGTCCAGATAACAACAGATGAGGGAGGAAGGTCATTGGCTAATAAAGGAACTGCCTTGGCCCATTTTATTGGTTAGAAGATAGGTGGGAGGAGTAAACAGAACAGAACGCTGGGAGGAAGAGGAAGTGAGCTCAGACTCCACAGCTCTCCTCTCGGGAGCAGACGCCTGAGAGAGACGCCATGCCCCGCTCCTGGGCAGACACACGCCATGAAGCTCCGACCCAGGATGGACTAGGCTAAAATCTTCCCGGTAAGACCAGTTCTCACAAATTATTAGAGATGGGTTGATCAGGATGTGAGAATTAGCCTGTAAGTGCTAGAGCTAAAGGGCGAAGCAGTGTTTAAAAGAATACAGTGTCCGTGTAATTATTTCGGGGCATAAGCTAGCCGAGCAGGCAGCCGGGGTGCTGGGGACACAGCCCCGCCGCTCTTATTACTACAAACAGACTAAGGGGTTCTAGGCCCTTTCTCTAGATTAATGGTTTAATCCATTAACCTTCCTCAACATCTGCCTTGGAGCACATGGCTTACTACGTGCTTGATTTATCTAGATAATTTAGGATTTACTCCCTAAACATCTTTAAGACAAAAACCATTCCTTCAGTTCCAAATGCTAATGAGATAGAAAATACACTGAGGACTAATTAAGGCTTAATCGGTGTAGCTCAGCAGAAAAATAATGTGACTTACAAATGCAAATCAAAATGCAATTTCACATTTTCTGGCAAGTACATTTAGAAAGAATAGAACTGGCTCTGGGGAGATGGCTCAGTGAGCAAAGGTGCTCACTGTGTAAGTGTGAGGATCTGAGTTCAAATCCCCAAAACACACATAGAAAAGCCAGACATTTAGCACGCCTGCCTATAATCCTGGCCCTCCTACAGGAACGTGAGAGGTAGAGGAAGGCAAATTCCTGGGAGCTTGAGGCACAAGTGGCGTGGCAGATGCCGCAGATAAACAACAAAACGAGACCCTGGCACAAATTAAGGTGGGAGGTAAGGACTGACACCTGAGATTGCCCTGACCTCCACAGTCATGTATGTATGGCATGTGTGCTCCCACAGTCACACATATGAATGTGCATATACATACACAGCATAGTCGTAAGCACACATACACACAAGAGTAAGGACGAATATGTAGATTTAAAATGTTTTATTTAACCTAATATGTTCATTTTATAATTAACACATAATATAAAAATTGTTATAGTGGATTATTTATTTCCTTTGAGACAAGGTCTTGTGACAATGATCTGGCTGGACAATTACTCACTACATAACACCAACTAACTTGAACTCAAGGCAATCCTACTGCTTCAGCCTTTCAACTATTACCTGGATTATTAATATATAAAAAAAAACATGGCATACTTTACACAGTTTTCCCTACTAAGCACTTCAAATCTAGTATATGTTTTATATTTGCAGCACATTTCAATGCAGACTAGCTAATGTCAAATCCATAATGGCTACCTGACATCAAAGGCGCCACCCTCCACGATGGCATTTTAAACGTTACGCAGTCTAAGTCTTAAGCTCTGTTGTCATTCCTAGGGCAACTGCTAGGTGACAGAGGCCTTCCTAGGATATCACAGACCTCACAAAGGACACACAGACATCCGTAGGGTATCTAGATATACATAGTAGGCACACCAATTCTTTATTTTCAGATCTTGTTAATTTAAAAGCACAAGGTAGGACCTGGGGGCAGCTGGCTGACAGGGCCATCAGGTACCCATCCTATGTACTCTGGACCCCCCTTGGCTCTAGCATCTTATCGTTTTGTTTTTAACATGTTATGATGTTGCTATGATATGCATGAGGGTTGGATTACTCAACCCAGAAACTGAGATGACGCTGGTCTGACACCAGGCCCTCCCTCCTAGTCGGGTTGTTCCAATAAACATGCTGTGTGTTTTTCTTACTGTGCACGGGATTTCATTGTCAAGCTCCTCGAACACGGACACCCAATTGTCCTGCTGGGCAACATTCCAGTTGGGGTAGTCCAAGAAGATGCCATGGGCCATGATCTCCTCCTTATCATTACAGAGGGTAACAGCAAGGTTTGCTTTTTCTCTGTGAAAAGAATGAAAATACACACATTAGTAGAGACAACCAAAGTGGGGTGAAGGCAGGCCATCCTCTTCTTTCTGGGGCCCCTGGAGCTCTGGAGCTGCTGCGTGAGGTCTGGTTACAGCCAGAGTTGTGAGAATGATGTTGCTCAAAGTGTGGGTGTGTTTGTTCAGGGTGTATGAAGACATCAATCAAGTTGTTATTTAAAATTATGTTTTCACTAAAAGTGCCACATTTATCACAGTAAATATCCAATAGCCTTCTTTGGCACACTGAGCAGAACACCGTTCTATCGCATACTGCCTCCACCTTCTCCAAGGTAGCAATACCACTGTGTTGATGTACACCCAGCACAGTTATAGACAGTTACAGTGGTCAACTGTCCTCTGCTGGGGACTAAGGTGTCACTCGAGACATGAGACTTCATGCTAAAAGCCAGGAAGGTCCTGGGAAAACTGAGATGGGCTGATCACCTGTGCACAAGTGGCAAAGCTGCATTTAGAGTCAGTTTTATTGGCACTCTTATGCAGGGTTCTTCCAAACCCCAAGCCCAGGTCCCAAGGCTGAGTTACACAGAACCTGAGTATCTTTAGTCACCAGCTCACTTTCTATTGCTGTGATAAACACCAGGACCAAAAGCAACTTAGCTCATCTTCCACTTCCAGGTCATAGGCGATCACTAAGGGAAGTCAGGTCAGGAACTCAAGGCAGGAACTCAAGGCAGGAACTTGGAGGAGAAACCACAGAGGAATGACGCTTACAAGCATGCTCCCAGGTTCACATCTAGTACTTTCCTATGCTCCGGTGCACCCTGAGTTTTCGCTCCTCTCTTTCCCCTCCCCTTCCCCTCTACCTCTCCACCCCAGCTCTCTCTTGCTAGGGAATGAGCTTTTAAACCTGGGGCCTCACCAATGGCAGGCAAGTACTCTATCACTAAGCCATATCTCTAGCCTCAGCTACCTTCTGCATGCTGTGACTATGACTGGTTAATGAATAAAGAAACTGGCTTGGCCTGATAGGGCAAAGTAGAGCTGGGTGGGGAAAACTAAATTGAATGCTGGGAGAAAGAAGGTAGGATCAGGGAGAAGCCATGTAGCCCCACTGGAGACAAATACCGGAGCTTTACCCGGTAAGCCACAGCCTCGTGGTGATGCACAGATTAATATAGATGGGTTAATTTAAGATATGAGTTAGCCAGAAATACACTTAAGCTATTAGCCAAACAGTATTGCAAATAATATGGTTTCTGTGTGATTATTTCGGGGCTGAGAAGCCAGGAACAAACTAGTGGCCCCCTACAACAAATTGGCACTCCAATATGTGCTAGCTAAATCCACATAAAACCTGAGTGGACTTAGAAAGGAATTCTAGACACTAAAAAACAAAGTTTAGCCACATTTTTTCCCATATGGGATTTGCTTGTTGACAGCGTGCTGCAGCTCCTTTAAGAGAGGTCTTCCTGATTCAGCAGTAGCAGAAAAACAGCTGTGTGGTTTTGGAACAGCGGCTTTTCTGGGCCATGCTGCCAGCGCAAACTCTGGCCTTTTCAGAAGGCCAAGCATTTAAATGGTTTTTTTTTTATTTATTTAGTAAGGATTTCTGCCTCCTCCCCGCCACCGCCTCCCATTTCCCTCCCTCTCCCCCGATCAAGTCCCTCTCCCTCATCTGCTCGAAGAGCAATCAGGGTTCCCTGACCTGTGGGAAGTCCAAGGACCGCCCACCTCCATCCAGGTTTAGTAAGGTGAGCATCCAAACTGCCTAGGCTCCCCCAAAGCCAGTACGTGCAGTAGGATCAAAAACCCATTGCCATTGTTCTTGAGTTCTCAGTAGTCCTCATTGTCCGCTATGTTCAGCAAGTCCGGTTTTAAAAAATGGGGTTTGTAGGCAGCTTGCTGCAAGTTACTTGGTGGCAGCTTGGACTGCTTGGTTATCAAAGTTGAGGTGATGAGCGTGGCTCCCACCCAGCAGTCTCAGAGGCAGTGAATGGACTGCAGCCATGCTGGACTGAGCAGACCAAGCAGGCAGGGTGATATTTGTCCTAGCAATGCTACTGCTTAGGTTTTTAAGAAGCACTTAGCATTTTAAGAAGCAGTCCTGGTCAGAAAAGGATTACATATATACAATAAAGACAAATTCAGATGGAAAAGACCTCTAAATGGGTCACAGTGTTGGATAAATGTATGTAGGCTTAGGAGAGAGAAGAAAAAGAGTATAGAGAGTTGGAAAAGAAGTAAATTGTTTAAAAAATAAATAAAACAAAGTCTTTAAAGAGACAGACAATCATAGATTAAAGGAATAAAGAAAAAAGCAATGTAAAGATGGAATATACACAGAGAGTCTGGATTATGTATACTATTGTGTTTTTTTTTTAATTTTTTCACTGCAGAGAGACATTTGATTCTGGGACTGCTAGAATAAGCCAACATATATACTTTAAAGGTATCTTGATTTTAAAATATGGGTCGAAGGATATGTTGCTTTGGAAAAGAGGGTCTTCCTTTGTTTCCACAGAGGATGAGGCCCTGTGGAATCCTTCCAAACTAATATGGTTTGATGCAACAAGACCCCCCAAAAGGTCTCCATGAACACCCCAAATTACTTTGCCCAACAAAAACCAAGAAGCAGTTTGGAGAGAACTATGCCCAAATTCCCAAATATTGTTTGTGAGTGTTTGTTTACATTTAAAGGGGGTATGCTATAGAGATGGATACTTTGCATTGGTATGGATATTGGTCTATTGATACAAATTTAAGGTCAATTTTGTTATACTGTATATGTGCATTTCTGCTCTTGATTAAGGTATTGTGTTTGTGCAGCTCATTTAAAATGTAATGTATAATTAAGAAATATAGGTTAATAGATAATCATCTATAATAGTCTAGCTTGTAGTCATGTTAGTTAGGTTTTCTAGATTTATAGTGATATATTTCAGTTAGATAGGCATTCTTCAAACCTTTCAAAGACTACAGAATATGGCATTTAAAATGTTTTAAGAACTTTGGACTTTTCATGACATGAGACACATCTGCTCCTGGCAGCACCAATCTACTTTCAGAGGAAGATGGGCAGTGAAGAGGCTATTTATGGCCTTTATTAGTCATTTGGGCAAGAAACTGCTCTTGCCTGGACTGCTTGATGTTAAGCTATATGAACAAGACATGCAGAACTCACAGAAAAAGGACTTCTGAAGTTGCCTAAAGAAGGTGAGATGATCCTTTGGGGTTCCTGCTTTATAAGAGTCTGCTAGACATTCTGCAGGACACAGAAGAAAGTGACTGACAAATGGCCAATAAAATTAGACCTGTTTTTGAAATTTCCTGCTTCATGAAAAAGTCTGGTGGATACTATGAGCCTGTGGGCTGAAGATGGGATGCTCCAATGATACAGAAAAATTTAGGGTGACTGTCCAGGCAGCGAGATGTCTCTGTCAATTCTAAAGTTTTGGAAGTTGGTTATAATGCACTTCCTGTTTACTTAGTTAATATTATATCCTTCTGGATTCTTTGATGAAGTTGAGGAATAGATAGTTAATAGTTTTCCTTAATTATTATAAAAGATAAAGTAGATATAAATATTGTAACCATAATCTTGCTCATACCTGTTTTGTTATATGTAATTTTACTATGTTAAAGTTAAAACCTTCCTTTTTTATTTAAACAGAAAAGGGGAGGTGATGTGGCATTCCCCTCTGTAAGCTGTGAATACGATTAGTTAATGAATAAAGAAACTGGCTTGGCCTGATAATACAGAGTAGGGCTAGGCGGGGAAAACTAAACTGAATGCTGGGAGAAAGGAGGCGGGGTCAGGGAGAAGCCATGTAGGCCTGCTGGAGACAGATACTGGAACTTTACCTGGTAAGCTACAGCCTCATGGTAATATACAGATTAATAGAAATGGGTTAAATTAAAATGTAAGAGTTAGCTAATAAGAAGCTAAAGCTAATGGGCCAAGCAGTGATTTAATTAATACAGTTTCTGTGTGGTTATTTTGGGTGTCTGAGTGGCCAGGAAACAAACAAGCAGCCTCTACAACAAACCTTCCTTTTGTTTAAAGTTTATTTTTATTCTTTTAAAATTTATTTATTACATATAGTGGTCTGCCTGCATGTATCCCTGAAGTCCAGAAGAGGGCACCAGATCTCATTACATATTGTAGTGAGCCACCATGTGGTTGCTCAGAATTGAGCTCAGGACCTCTGGAAGAGCAGTCAGTACTCTTAATTCCTGAGCCATCTCTCCAGCCCCCTATGTTGTTGTTGTTGTTTTTTTCTTAATAATGTGTATTTGTGTGGAAGTCAGAGATGTTGGATCCCCAGGAGATGGTGCTAGGAACCGAACTAGGTCCTCTGGAAGAGCAACAAGTGCTTTTAATTGCTAATCTCTCCAGCACCAAACTACCTTTCTCATTCCAGGCCCCACCTGTGTAGCAACCACAGCACTCAGTGTTCTGTGTGTTAGTATTCAGCATCTGTGCTGGCCTGTCCCTGGAGTTCTGACAGGATATGTCCTCGCTGTTGTCACTAAGAGCACCTCCTGTGCACATTCCCTATGTTCTTTTTCAAAAGGTGGGCCTTGCCCACCTCCCATCCCCCCCTCTCTTCTCTTTTCTGCCACTCCTGTTCCAGAAGCCTGTCTTTCCCCTCCCCTCCCCCCTTTTCCCAGTCCCTTTCCCCCAATAAAAAAAACCCTCCATGCGAGCCCTGTCACATAGTGTCTTTCTCTCATGCGCCGTTTTTTCAAATTACAACAGTGTGCTCTTCTCTATCAATTAGAAATCAAGAAAATGCCCACAGACATGTCCCCAGGCCAAGGTGATGAAGGCAGTTCCTCAATTGAGGGTCCTTCTTTCCAGATGTGCCAACTTAACAACAAAATCAGCATCACATGCAGCATCACCTGAAATAGCTGCAGAAACAGAGACCCAGCAGGGTCTTGTGTAAGCTAAGGATTCCTGGCGCCTTAATTACAGGACGAGAAGCAGCAGCCTTCCAGCTCTTACTGGAG